TATCCACAGCCACTCCGTCTTACCAGGGTTCAGTTGAAGCCTGCTGTCCCCCATCTGGGCCCCTACAGCCTCCAGGCACCATGAAAGGGTAGAGACAGCATCGCTTAGGTCACCCGGGATGGAGATATATAATTGAGTATCATCAGCAACACTTAGCAAACAGTTCAATATTTAGCAGGGAGTAAGGCAAGGATGTGCAATGTTCTCTTGGTTATTTAATGTATCCATGGATAAATACATAAGAAATACTTGTGGTGATTAGAGGTGTGTTTGTCAAGATGATAAATGTGTGTGTACTTTTCATGTAGACAGTGCTGTGTTGCTGGCTGGGAACCCAAATTATTTTCAGAAAAACATTCAAAGGGACGTGTGGATTTGAAAATTAAATGTATAGAAGTCGAACTGTCATTGACTTGAAGAATGGACTGAACAATTGCAAGTTATACAACCATGGTAAAAAAAATAGAGTAGGGTAATATTGGTAGAATATTGGTAGAATATTTAGTAAGGTTGGTAAAATGGATGGAGAGATTTTAAGATGTACACATACTGGTGAAAAAGTAGGTCATCTGTTATGAGGAATTAATGTTTGTTGATAGAGGTGAAAATGGCTATAACCTATATAAAAGTGAGCTTTTGCCCACTTTATTGTAGGTAAGTGAGAATCAGAAGAAATAAATTGAAGACAGTAGAAAGAGGCTATTTAAGAAGTGTGGTAAAACAAGAAGAGAGAGAGCCCTGAATGCATGTGACCTGAATGCTAAAATGAAAGATCACAGAAGGATTTTGTGGTGATTTGGTCATATGGGGAGAATAAATGAGGAAGAGTTAATGGGTTGAGAGAAAGGGAAAGAATGAGAAAATTGTGGTTGGATATTATCAGTATGGAGCTGATAATAATCTTCAAAAAGAGAGTTAAGAAGTTTACAAACAAAAGTGCAAATTGGGTACAGACTGGGTGGAAGCAAGGATGAATTGCAAGAATAGAAACATGAACAGTATCAGCGCACATGAGATTTGCCTGTTTTTGTTTCTTGTCTGACGCCTTTCCTTTCCTTACTACTTCTTATTTTTTTCCTGTGCTTTGCAGAACATTGGTTTCTCCAAAGGGAATGGCATGTACCATCAGACATTGCTCCCATAAAATTACTAACTTGCAGGAATTGCAGTGAAGTTGTGGAAATTAGTAAAATTGGTGCAAACTGGCAGAAGTGTGCCATGAGAAGCAAGGAAATAATTTGAGCACTTCAATTGAGGGTGGGTGGGTGGGTGAAGGAACTGAGACAAGAAAGAGAGAAGCACCCAGTAAGAGTTACCTGGGAATAGGTGGGGCCTGGCAGAACTGAAGAGCTGAGAAGCAGCCGTCTGGATTTGGTTTCCTGCCAGGAAGGAATAGATGCAAAAGGAAGTAAACAGAGCCAAGGAGGGGGAGAGTGGAATGGCTCCATGAGCAGGGGACGTCTACAGGGTGTGGTCAAAAATACCAAGGGAGGGCAGTGACAAAACAACACATAAAAAACAAATGGCGCTTCAATCACACCATATGGCCACCCTCTAGACATTTTTTAACCACACCCTGTGGACATCCCTCTCCATGAGACTTTTGCAAGGCAACTAATGGTGTTTGAGTTGTGTGGAATTGCTTGGGCTTCTAGAAAGTACTGCTTTTTAAAAACAGTCTTCCTGGCTGTTAGGTGACAAGAGGGAAAAAAGACTGCATTTTCTGAACAAGCCTCTTAGAGCTGGGGGGTTGTGGTGGGGGAATTCATTCCCATTGAATTCAATAGCTATTTTTGTATAAAGTTACTCTTATGTTCATGTATTTCTGCAATAACCTCTCTAGAATGGTATGGTTGTTATTTTAATGCAAACTGTCAAATACATTTGCTGTTAAATTTGGTTTTAAATACATGAAAAACAATAAAACTGGGCTATCTGTTCATAACTAGAGTGTCTTCGGTCTTATTGGAAATATGATGGTAGGATGGAGTCAGTCTTGGAGCTGTGTGCTGGTTGGAGAATTAGGAGCATCTTGGTTTTAAATAGATTAAAGAGAGATATTGATAGGGACCCTATGATGGGAGTTTCCCTTGAAGACAATTTCTTAAACTCAGAACTAGTTACTCTTTAAAAAACAGTTGTACACTTCCATCCAATGAAGTGGTATGGATTTAAAAAGGGGTATTGGTAGAAAGGCAAGCCTCCCCAGCAAAACAGAACATGACCTGAA